GGGTCCCACTCTCCCAGGGGCCACCTGCACCTCTGTCCTTGCTATACTTTGCTTATAAAAACCATTGAATGTCCTTTTAAGCATAAACCAGTTCGAATTGGTCCCCGTTATTTGCATTCAAGGAGTCGTGACTCATGCGGAGGGAAACCACTTGGGTCTGGGCATTCTCGGTAGGGGCGAACTGAGTGGGTTTCTTCCTAGTCCTGTTCTCTGGGCTCTGCCTGCGCAGCCCACAGGGATGGTTTCCGAGGTCCCTTTGCTGCTCTCTGACCCTGTCCCCCTGCCAAGGCTCACTCGTCCAGGGACAGTGCCTAGTCCAATCCAAGTTTCATCTCGGCCTGGTTCTGGCCCTTCCTGAGGCTTGTTTGACCATCTGTGTTGGATTCCGTGAGCTACCCGGTCCTTCCAAGACATTCCACCCTTTCTTTCCGCTGCCCCCATCTCTATCAGCTGGCTGCAATTGGTTTCCTCTTTAAACTAAGAGAACATGAAATTATACACCAAAATATTGTTTCTGTAAATCATCGGTTAGGACGGTTTTCACTATGGGACACATAAGACGTCAGTAAAAATCGGCTTGAGCAATAAAGAACTTTTCACCTGGGACAGTGAGCCTAGAGGAAGGGTGGCCCCAGATGCGTTACGGTCGGCAGCTTGAGAATGTCACCGGGGCCCCTGTGTTTGATTTCTGTGCTTTGCCAAGATCAAGGCCAACCTCTCTCAGAGGCTGATTCTCCAAGGGTCCCCAAGTGGCTGCCGCTCACAGTTGAGGTGATCTGTGTCACCATTCGCATCTAGCAGCGGCTAAAAAAACTTCTCCATGCACGGGGCAGCATCATCAGATTGGGTACTAATATCCTGGCAGTGGCGTGAGAACAGATTTAAGACATCTTTAAACGTCAGAATTAATTCGGCTTGGCAACTGCCTGCGGTTGGGGCACTGGAAGGGAGGAATGAGGCGGACACCCAGGTTTCTTATTTGGGCGTCTTAGTAGCGCCAGAGCTGGTTTGGCAGGATGGTGACAGCACATACAGGCTCCGTGCCTTCCCATACTTCACTGGGGCCTGACCGGGCATCAGCTGGAGCCTGTCCAGAAGTCCTGACATCACAGCGAGCTGTTCGCCTCTGCTGAGAAGTGATTTCTTCATGGGCGAGACCAGCTCTGCATGAGCTGCTCTTCCTCTCATGCACAGAGAACCATTTCCATAAAGCAGGCAGCCACCTGACTGGCCTGAAGGACACTCTCGCCGTTGTGCAAGCATCACCACCATCCTTCTCCAGAGCTTTTTCATCTTCCCAAACTGAAACTCTGTCCCCATGAAACAACAGCTCTCCATTCCTTCCTCCCCTCGGCCCTGGGCAACCACCGAATAATTGCTTTTCTGTCTCTATGAATTTGGCTACTCTAGGGACCTCATATAAGCGGAATTGTATATTTGTCCTTTTGCGATGGGTTTAGTTCACCGAGCATAACGTCTTCAAGGTTCGTCCATGTTGCAGCATGGGTCAGAACTTCCTTCCTTTTTAAGTCCAAATAACATTCCATTGTATGTATGGACCACCTGTTTACTCATTCATCTGTCAATGGACACCTGGGCTGCTTCTACCTTTTGGTTATTGGGAATAATGCTGCGGCTATGAACATGGGTGTCTAAATATCCCCAGATATCTCTTTAAAAGCATATGGGATTTGAATTAGCAGCCACGGTTGAGAACCATTAGTGCATGGCTGTCCCAGGAGATTGGGAGGGGTCCAGGGGAGAGGTATGCCACCTTAATTGGCCCGATCCAGCTGTTCCATGCTAATTATAGTACTTGTCATATCCAGTAAGCAGACCTTATACTTCTGTCTCCATCAACAGACTTAGGTGTGTGAGGTAGGTTTTATTTACCTCAGTATCTCCCAGATCTAGCTCCAAGCTTGGTACCCAGAAGGAGCTTATGGATTTGCTGCCGAATAAAGATGACTAGCAATCTGCAATTTAACTCTGTCCTGCTATTATAGCCAATTGTTCCCTTCTGCTATTAGTAATCAGGTATCATCATACCTTGGGTCATGCTTCTGGCCCTGACTGGGGCCTGGGCCTGCTTCAGGGTCTAAGATCTTTATGAAAGAAAATTATGCATGTGAAAGCAGCCCTGGGTCCTTGCTCTGGTATCTTCTAGGTCAGCTGCTCCAAAAAGATCTGCTGTACCCCTCCCTTGCATCTGAATGAGAAGCTTAAAGGATCCTCCCACAAATATCTGCTTCCAGCACAGTATGGAAGGAAGCAAGGCCATGATTCTGGTCTCTTGTGACATGGCAAGACTCTTACCCCACAAGGACAACTGAGACCCCTGAAATTCAGCCTCGTCTCTGTGTGTGAGGACCTGGATGAGGAACTGTGTCCAGTCACTCGCACCCTTGACCCTGGGTGTTTTTTCTCTGCACTGCTCACTTCATCATCAGTAAACCAACATGAAAATAAATGACCCAAGTCTCTGTTGCTGTTCTAGCCAATCTTCAAAGTCATGAAGGTCTAGCCCAGTTCAGTCTCCTTGATATCATCTTAATGATTATTCCTGTTATGCACGTGCCATAAAATAATAATTACTTCACTCACTGGCCTGATGGGAAATACAATTACATATGCAAATAGCTTCATAAAAATTTCATGTGAAGAACACACTGACACTGGCCACTATTCAATAATCCCAGGATCCAACTACAAAGTCTTACCAGGACTGTGTGCATCCCCGTGTAAAGCCTGCTGAGACTCACCAACGTGGAAAACACCACAGCCATCATCAGCCCCAAAGCAAAGGGATACTGCAAAGGGAGAGAAAAAACAAGGACATTAGATCATGCACAGAAATACACAACTTGATGCTGTAGAAGGCAACAGGATTCCTGGTCCAGTAACTAGTCTCAACCTCACATGCCCTAGACCAGCAATCTGATGAGCTGAAACATTTGATAAATGGGAAAACCAAGGAAAGAAAGGGCAAGATGCCTAGAAATATAATTCTGAGAGCAAGTTTCACGACATAGGATGTAGTAGAACTTGGCTTTAAGACTCATATCCACAGCTATTGTGCTGACAGTTTTAGTGGAGTAAATAATTATTTATTTCTACCTATTCTTAGATTATGATGTATATAGCATTGAGCAAGAGGCAAGGTAGATGGCGCTGTTATCTGGAAATTCAACCACCTACTTCATCACGAGATGCGGTGATAAAGCTTGGCTGTAACTGACTTCCTATGGAAGTCCATGGACAATGGGCCTAAGCTAAGAACGGGCATATTTATGCATCGATGTCAAGGCTGAAGTCCAGACTGTGCTGTCTCAACATCTGCTGGTGGAAAAGCAGCCAAAGGAATTTGGCTAATCCCAGGTCATATAAAAACATACGGATTTTCTGCTTATAAATTGGACCTAGAGATATAATCCATGTGCTTCAAGGACTAATGTCTGTGGTCTTCTGTCTAATGTCTGTGATGAGAATAAAGATAATAAGAAACTGTCTATATTATGCAAAGATGTTTACAGTCACTATTTAATTTAATCTTTGTACAACCCGTTGAGGTAGATTCTATAATTAGCCCCATTCTACAAACAAGGAAACCCTTAACCATGATGATAAGTTACATTAGTATTGAACTTTAGCACAAAGCTGCTTTCCCATCAATCACGACATCTGATCTTCACAACAGTGGCCAGGGCTCAGAAAGGCAGAGTGACTTGCCTAAGGTCACACAGCCACTGACTGACATAGTCAGAACCAGAAGCCACACCTTCTGAAACCAAGTCAGCATATTCTTTCCAACGTAACATGTGAGTACAATAACATGGATATATGTCTTTTCTTAAGATTGGTCATTAACTGGGTGTTCAATGTTAATCAAAGGAGCGTTAAAAATTAATGTGGTAATGCATTCTGAAATCAGAATTTGGGCACTAGGTTCAACGCATATTTATATAAACAAATCCATATTTAGAGCTATTTATGAGCAATAACCCAAAGAGCTAAATATATTTATCATTAAGAATTAAATAGGAAAGACGACTATAACAATTCAGGCCTTATGAAAACTGTTGCGTCATGTGAGCTGAAAAGATTTTTTTTAAGAAGACCTCAGCGACTTTAAAATGAGTGGATAAGTGGTGGTGGGAGTTGCTTCTCTATAGTCAGTCAGTCTCCACGTGCTGGTTTTTTCCAAAGTCACTGAGCATGGTAACAGCCTCTCTGGATGCAGAGAGCAGCCCCTTGGGGGCTGATGCTGGGCCCGCCACATCCTTCTGACACAAATGGCACCAGGCACGGCATAGCCCGGAAGTCTGCATCAAATTAATTCAAACAGTACTGGGGCATTCAGATGGTTTTTGATCCGGCGTGACATTTAAGTAAGTTACAACACAAGGTTCTACCTAACTTGGAGATGTTGCTTATATCCGTCCCTTTCCCATTTAGGAAACTGAGGTCTAATCCTAGGTGACCAGGACCCAACACTAAGCTTTTCCTATTCCAACCACATCAGGCTGACTCCCCTGTTTCCATATGACCTGGAACTCGGAATGTCCCTGGGGTTCTAGACTGAAGAGCCAGGGCGAAACGATACTGTCATTTATGGACAAGACTGCTCTGTTTAATGAAATCTAAATTTTCCAAGGGGTCAAAGGTAAAACTTATGAAACGAAACCCAAACTTAGAACAAGAGTTCTAAGACGGGCAAAACAGTACTTTGTTGCAGTAATAACTTTTAAAAGGCCTGACTGTTACTGGCATCTAAGCAGACACTAAGTGAAATTCTATTTTCAACATTTATTAATCCTCTATCATCTAGACAATTTTCTAGAAAATGTGGAGCTGTTCTTTATAATGGCTGAGCCCCAGCCAGGGGCGGAGGCATCCTTGGGGAACAATGTGGGGCACAGACTCTTCTGCCTCAGGTCTTGGGGAGTCTAGTAAGAGGATTTGGTGACGTCATCTGAGCCCTGGAGGGTCATTTACTAGGACCATAAACCCCTCGCGTGTCACAAACGAGATGAGAACACCGATTCAAGAGCTGTCTCGTCAGGCCGCTCAGGGTGAAAACGCTTTTTGAGGGGAGAGACGATACACCCTGGTCCCTGGACAGTCCATGTTATGCTGGTGTCATTATGGTGTCCTGTCCACTCCCATCCTCAGGCACAGCCTCCTCAGGACGCTAAATTATACGGTCACTTTACTTATAAAGAAATGGTCATCGAAGGCTCGAAAAGTTTCTGTTCCCCTTAGTCTTTACTTTGTAAACCTCAAAGTCCCTCAAAGTGGCCTTAAAAGAAAACCTCTCTCTGCTGCCTCATTGAGGGGAGGTCCTTACACGGAGGAGGAGTTGGGCTGCCTCACCTGGTACCTGTCCACGGTAGAGATGAGGAGGGTGAAGGAGATAGCGGTGGCTGCCATGGCGTGGGTAGATGGCATTCCATACTCAGCAATCACTCTCTTCTCCAGTTTCACGACGGGCGGGGAGGAGGGGCGGGGCCACTTCAAGATATCCTTGGCCACCTGACCAATATACATGACCAGCTGCAAAACCAAAGGACCAATAAGGTAAGTCTAACCAAATAAGTAAAATTCATGAACTCCTAGATTTCGTGAATTTGTTTTGGGTTTCCCTGTTTGTTGGTTGAAATCGCCTCTTTTTCTGACCTAGATATCTGTTGGGAAAGCTTTGTAGAGTGATATTTAATTGGTAAAAGGAGACACAGGACTTCCAGACTTCACAGAGTGCTTAAGACATGACATCAATTCACTTTATTTATTTTAATCATATAGCTAACAAACATTTATATAGCTCATATGTGTGCCAGGCACTATTCTAAGAGTTTTACAAACATCAGCTCACTTCATCCAATAATACCCATAGAGTGCAGACCCATTTTACAGATGAGCCAACCACTGTATTCTATCAGATAGTGGCAGGACTCGCTAGACTTGAATCCAGAGTGTCTGGCTTCTCAATCTGTGCCTTAAATCACCGCTTTACAGTACCTATCCAAACACAGCACGGTCCTGAACTAGAGCTCATCTAACGCTCAAATCAGACAGCCCTTATTTTCAAGTCTTAACCAGAAAAGGGACTGTTCTTAAGGAACTTCTAGCTAAAAAAGTTTTGAATGCTACCTGTTACTCCTGCTATATGTGGGTAACATACTGGATTTAATTTAACTTAACTCAATAATCAGGAGCATCAGTAAAATAAATGGTATGGTATTTTGAACCCTAAAATAAAGACGGCTCAATCTGGAATTTTTTCAGATGACTTTTTCAAGGTGCTATTAATAAGGGAATTTCTACTTGTCTTCATTTTCTTCTTAAGGCAGAAGATAGAAATCAGAATTGGATTGTCATACCCTTCAGAGAGAAACAGGACAGTTAATGATGACTTATTTTATCAGAGAGCTTTGCAGAATAATTTCATAATCTGGTATAAAAGAGAGAAGAGCAACCCGTTTCCTGAAGCCTCTGTGTTAGGGGTCTGAGGACTGGCCGCACGCACCCCACAGAGGCGCTATTTTAACATGCAGAATCCCAGGCCCCAGCCTGGACCTGCTGAGCTGGAGCCCCCATCTTCACAAGGCTCCCAGGTGCATCACGTGCACATGAGAATCCGAGAAGCCCTGCTTTACCCTGTATTCCTGCACAGGTCCCTTTGCCACAGGCTTTAATCGTGAACATTCTCATCTTGCCATGACCGTATTGATCTCACTAGGGCTTTGTTTAGCTTGTGATGGATGGGGTTACCTTGCTTTGGAACAAAACCCACAATGAGAGAGAACTATTTCAAAATATTTTTGATTAGATTGCCTGAGGGTTTCCTGCAATCCGGTGCTTTCATTTAGCCCGTTCGGTGCCGGTTAATTCTGAACATTATTCCGGCATACTCAGTAGCCCCCAGAAGGCACTGCATATGTTTTTGTGCTCTGCTGCCACTTTGCTCTGGGTTAAAAACCAAGAACCACTGTCTGTGCACAGCAGGCCAAATCCACAGGCTTTAAAGCCTCAGTAACAATCACTCCGAATTCCATAGCTGCAATTTCTAATCGGACTTTGAAACTTAACCTCTTTACCATCCCCCTTATTACCAGGAACACTGTCCTGGAAACCAGCTCACTCTTTTATGTTTCTGCCTCCCTCCTGTGAACCTGTGAGAACCACATCAGACCGACTATTATCTGGGCAGTTGAAAATCCTGCAGATACTACTTACTGACTACTAAGATTTTCTCAGAAGCCGCTTGAGATATATTTTTAACTCTGCCCCTTCCCCACTCACCAACATAAACAAAATATTACAGGCATAATGACTAACTCTAGTTTGCTCAAAAATATTTTCAAATCCTTGGAGACAGGAAACCTTAAGATTATAAAGTGAAGTCAGGCTAGAAGACCTTCGTTCAGGCAAAATTTAATTTCCTTGATGTTCACGAATAACTTCGACTTCATTTATATTTCACCTTCTATGCTTGAAGGACGTTTTTAAGAATTAGGACAAGTATTTCAAAATATCACCACGGCTACACATTGTTTCTGATCAATAAATTTCAAAAAAAAACCAATTACTGTAATGACAGCTCTCTTTAAGAGAAAATAGAGCTGTATTTTTCAAGTCGTACAGAAAGAGCATCACCCATTGGGTGGTGGGTCCTGTCTCTGCCGTCACATTCATGACAGTGAACCTATGATGTGTCGAGCCTCGTATTAGGTCCTCATCCTTCAGTGGGGAAAAGTCACACAGAGGATGTCGTCACAATGAAAATAGACTTTGAAAAAAATTACCCCCAGAATTCTATGGGTATGTATAGAGGTAGAGATGGACTTTGGTTCAACGTGGAGGGCTAGGAGCCCTGGGGCTCTGCATTAAAGGAAGACTGCTTAACTAAGAAGAGGGATACATAGACAGGCATCCAGGTGGCAAGAACAGTCTGAGCAAAGGCTCTGAGAAGTGATACTGGATGGTATGTAGCAGGTACCCCTAGGAGTCTGGGACACTAGAGTTCAGGCGCATCACTTGTCACCTGCTAGAATGGCTCAGATTATAGGGACTGACCATGCAGGGTGTTGAGGAGGATGGGGAGCACCCGGAACTCTCATGCACCACTGGAGTACCTGCGAAATGGTAAAACCACTTTGGAAAATAGTTTGACGGTTTCTTAAAATGTGAAACATATACTTTCCATACGGTCAGCCATGAATCTCCTGGGTATTTATCCATGAAGAATGAAAGCATAAGCCACACCAAGATTTGTACATGAATGTTTATGATGGCTTCTCTGTAATAGCTCCAAACTGGAAACAATCCAGTTTCCATCAACAGGTGAATAAACAAATTGTGGTATAATCATACATTAAATATTTCTCAGTAACGACAACAACAAAAATAAACTATTGATACCATACTAGAGCATGGATGAATCTTAAAATAATTAGGTTGAATGAAGAAGCCAGACCAAAAACAAAAATAACAGTACATACTACATGATTTCATTTATATAAAATTTTTAAAAATGCAAATGACTTTATAGGAAAGAAAGAAGATCAATGATTGCCAAGGGTGGTGGTGTGGGTGGGGGGAGAAATTACGAAGGGGCATGAGGAGACTTCTGGGAGTGATGGATGTATATCTTAACTATGGTGATGACTTCAGGGGTAAGCACACGTGTCATGATGTGCCAAGCTGTACATTTTAAATATGTATAAATTTGTGAATACACTAAAAATTATTCAATTGTACACTTTAAATGAATTGGATAGTATGTGACTTACACCTCAGTAAAGCTGTTAAGTATGTGCAGTTGTGTCAATCATATCTCAAAAAGTAGTTGCCTTAGCCCGCGTGGGTGGCATAGACTGGGTGGCTGATAAATTACAGAAATTTATTTCTCACAGTTCTAGAGGATGAGAAGTTCAAGACCAAGTTTTTATCAGATTAAGTGTTTGGTGAGGGTCTGCTCTCTGGGTCACAGATGGCCATCTTCTTAGTACTAAAAAAGAGAGATTTCAAGCCTTAAAAAGACATGGACGAAACTTAAATGTATATTACTGAATGAAAGAAGCCAATCTGAAAAGGCTACTTACTGTACGACTTCATCTCTATGACATTTTGGAAAAGGCAAAACTATGGAAACAGTAGAAAGATCAGTGATTGCCAGGGGTTAGGGGAAGGGAGGTCTGAACAGGTGGAGCATAGCGGATTCTCAGGGCAGTGAAACTTCCATGTGGACGATAATGGCCGAGACATGCCATTTTACATTGTCCAAACCCATAGAATGGACGACAGTAAACTCTTAATGTAAACTATGAACTTCGGGTGATTATGATATGTCACTGTAGGATCATCAGCTGTAACAATGTCCCTCTCTGGTGGGAGATGCTGATCATGCAGGAGGCTACGCATATGGAGGGAGGGGCGTGAGTATGTGGAAGTTCTCTGTACTTCTCACAGAATTCTGCTGTGAACGTAAACTGCTCTGAAAAATAAAGTCTGTTAAAAAGAGTACCATGGCAGAAGAGAACGATTTCTCCATTTAGTTTGCAGTTAGAGTATAATGATTAACTTGATGGGGCTTGCCCTAAATGGAAGGCTTCGCTTTGCATTGTTGAAGGGCCCTCCTACCTAAGGGGACCAAATCAAGTTCCATCATCTATCACATTCCTTTGGGCTCAGGCCCCAAAAGCCTACACTTAAAGGAAACGTCCATGAGGAGGCAAGGCAGGAAGCGATTAAATATCATGAACACCTTAGCCAAGCAGCAGGTCCTTGCATGACTCTGGTGGTGCTGGGGCCCTGTTGCATTTCGTGATGAGAAAATAGCCAAATTTCTTGCTTCTGCCCTGATTACAGAATAAAGGGAATATATAGGTGGAAAGAAAATCCATTTCTCTGCATAGCCCACTGCCACTTCCAAACTTACAAAAGGCATTTCTACTAAATCAATCTCGTCAACATGAAACACATCCTCACAGCATGAAGACCTTCCAGCTTGGGGTCTGTCCTTGATGGCTGGGCTCATCCAGGCGGCAGAGGAAAGAGCACGTTTTTCTCTTAGTGTGGTGGCCCTTTCTAGTTATTATAATCCACAATGACAAGTGTGCTGTGTCTAACATGTCCAATTAACAGGACATTACTCTTCATATTAGCATAAATAGTTTAGAACACAGAAGATCATTGAAATAACATTATTGCCAGTAAAGCAGCTACAGGATTTTTAAAAACAAAGCCACCCATTCGTTTTTTATACACTGAGATTGCTGGCTGCCCCCCATTTGTCTGCTTCCCCCCAAAGCATCTCCATTTCATGGTGTGAGGGCTCCACTGCTATAATAAAAGCTAAATCCTCTGCAGGATGTTGGCAGCATCCAGAGGCTCTTTTCCAATGACACCTCCCTCCATCCATACACAAATTCTGATAAACTCTAACATCTTTCTTTCTTCTTGCTACACTCATAGCTCCCTCCATCTTGAGAAATCATGGTGTAAGAGATTAACTAACAGGAGTACATGACATCTCTCAGGTCTCAGGGGAA